TCATATTTAAAACCGAAGGAGTACATGAAAAGAATGTGTTTGCATTTATGAGGGGAAGGGCCTGCGTGAATCACCTAGTCTAGTGCTTCGTTTATAGCTATTATGTGCATGATTCTAACTAAATAATACTGCTAAATTTAGTTCAAATGTAACTCCTAAATCTAAATTCATAATATATAAATATATATATATTATTTTCAACAGAAAAGTGCGAATAAGTAGAGGTATATGTTGTCCCTCTTTGACACGCACGAGGCTTAAAAAGAATATTGAGGTAGTGGGGAGGAATCAGCTTTTTATTTTCCTCGTAGCCGGAATCAGCATTTAAATACGGATCTCTTTGAATTCTAAATTTAAACTAATTTACGACTCAATCTGTGGGATGTAACTCTTACCAGTACTCACATTTTACGACCACACAATTATCGGATCCCTTCAGCTCACCACGGCTGAATCGGACAATCATATTTTTCATATCATATATAAATAATTATTATTATTATTATTGCCGACAAAATTGTAGGATCAAATCAAAGGGGTCAATTTTAGAAGTACTTGGGGGGGATCGAATTTCCTTAATTTTAGAAGAGAAGTAAATGGCAATGAAAATGCATTAGGAATTTAGAGGCAACGACACGTGACGACACAGCCGAGTGTGTGCCAGCAACCACTCCGTTTTTTCTTTTCATTGGTTCGATTACTGGTTCAATGAGGATCCGATGAAGAACCGGAATGTAATAAAAAATAATAATAAAATAAATTTTTATTTTTAAAAAAAAAATGGTTTGGAGCAATTCAAGGTCAACCAAACGAGAATTTAAGATAGAACAGCTTTCGCTGCCTCTTGTTGACGATATGCTTTGCTTGGCAAAAGAAAGTTCCTCCTTTGGCCCCACCCTTCTCCCCCCCCCCCCCAAATTCCCTTTGCTCTCCTCACTTTTCCCCACAAATCTCTTCTCCCCCCACCCAAACACTACCCTTTCTCTTTTTTTTGGGTCCTCTCTCAACACTCAACTCTTCTACCACTCCAGATTTTAGGGTGTACTCGCATATTGCATATTCTTGAGTGAATCCGCCTCAAATTTGGAGAACAAAAACACCCCTTTGAAAAGCACACATTGCTGGCCGAAAAAATTCCAGATGAGAATAAATTTTGAGATTGAGGTCTGGCCAGCAGCCACCGTTAGGGAACTTGGGGCTCAAATCCAAAGCCACACCATAGATTCTGGCAAGGCCGACCATGAGATTCCAGACACTAAAAGAAGATTCCATCGGAGAGACTTGGGAATATAATATTTGCATAATACGCAGGACGAAACTGAATTGATTCATAGCAACACAAAGGAAGATAAACATGAGTCTATTATAGTAACAATTATAAATAAAACAGATGATTGGAAGAACCCTTGGACGGCTCTAATAGCTCAGGAAAACCCAAAGGATTCTTCTTCCTCTTCTACCTCTCATCAAATATTTGCCTCAACAGATACAACTTGGTAAAACTCTTCACGCGCAGCAAAACCACTCACAAGAACCAACATTCTTGCAGACGCAAAAACACAACTCTTGATGCCTCACAAAACTTAAAACTTAGTCCTGCTAAAATACTAAATACTAGTAATATTAATATTACTAATGCTTTCTTCCTTATTCCTATGTTGTTGCTGAAGCTAGCTGCTAAATTTATACGCAAGGTATATTGAGGGGCTCCTCAGTCCAACCAGCAAAATCATCAGCACACAGTTCAAAATTGAAATCAGGCAGCTCACTGGCATTCATGTCATCCTCATCAAACCCACAAATTTGTAAGTCGTCCAAACCAAGAGGGTCATCCAAACCCTGACCAAAGTCGCCGAACATTACACAGTCCAGATCGAATCCGAGGTTTATGTCTGAAACATCTGCTGCTGTTGCTGCGGATGATGTTGTTGGTAGTGCTTGTACTGGCAGATCGTTCAGGAAGCTCAGATCTGGGATTGGGAGCCCTGCAAATTCATTCTCAAAATCATTAGACTCCATAGGTACAGTAGCTGCTGCTGCTGCTGCTGCTGCTGCTTGTCCTTCCTGTTGGTTTTCTTCCTTTTGCGCTTCGTTTTCTTCTTTGCTTGAACTGCCATTATTGGTGGCGTTAGCTTCTTCAGTGGATTTGGAAGTTGAAGTATCGAGTTCAAGCACAGAGGAAGGTGAGGTTTGAGAGAAAACGCTCTCAGAATCTTCTGATACAGAAGCAGCCACGTGAGCTGAAGAAGAAGAAATAATGTGACTCTTCTCCGATTGAGCCTGAGCTTGAGCTTTAGCCATTGCTTCGAACTCCATCTTCTTCGTTTCATAGGCTTGAGAAGCTTCCTGTGCAGTATTATAAGTACCAAGCCAGATACGAACACCTTTAAATGGATCACGAATTTCAGCAGCCCATTTACCCCATTTTCTCTGTCGAACGCCTCTGAATCTTGAAGAAGACGAGCTTTTGTTGATGGGGTTTTGGTAAAAACCCTCTTCTTGTTCTGGGTTTGACCATCAGCGAACTTGGAGGAGGACTTGATGACTCCATTGTTGCTTTCCTGAAATGAGCTTTCGGTTTCAGTGGATTTAGACAGGGCAGATGAAAGAGGAAGAGTGAGCTCACGAACGATTCGCTTCATCTTTCTCGGCCGCCTTTCGAAACGTCCTTCTCCTTCGTCTTCGCTGGAAGACGAATCTGTGGCGTAAGGGTCGTCACAGATTATGCGAAGCTTTCTCGATGGAATGGGGTTTTGCTTATGCTTCATCTTTTTGCAGAGATTGTTGATGTTCATCGTCTGATTCGACGGCTGATTCCGAGGTTGGAGCATGGTGGAGACAAAAATTTGGGAAAACCCACCAAAAACCCCTCAAAATACCCGGAAAATTGCGAAGGAAATCAAAACAAATTCAAGAGAGAGAACAAAAATGGAAAACCCAACAAAGAGATAACAAATATCAAGTGAGATCCCCTCTCAGAAATATGAAAAGGTGTGAGAATCTTATATTGTGAAAGCCTCCGAAACACTCAACTCCAGAACAAGTCCTGCAAAATCCAGCCATGAAAAACCCAGATTCAGACCCACATCTCAAGAGAAACCAAAACCCAGCAAAGGTTTAACAGAGATTAAGGGGGAAACTGAGTAAGAGCCACAAACCTTTTGGGTCTCAAACGCATCGAAGCCGTTGGGTACACCAGATTCAACCTCTGCCTCGAAGAACAGAGAAGCATACAGCGGATAGCAGAGCACACAGAGAACAAGAAGAGCAAGGTAGCAGACAAAACACAGAGCTTCAACGGAGCTCCAATCACTGCCAAATCAAACCTAGACGACATAAAATCTTGTACTCGGGCACTGTTTGGAGAAACCTCTCGCAGAAATCTCTCTTGCTCTCTCTCTCTCGCTGTGTGCTCTTGGCTGGCCAAACAAAGAGGGAAGTGTGAAGTGAATAAACTGATATTTAAAGAACCAAAAGGAGAGTGAGGGGTACGAAGGGAAAGGATTACAAATCTGTGGCTGCAATTTTCTCTCCCAAAAATATGACAAAACATTAGTTATTGCTAGGTTTTATCGATCTGCAAAAACCATTGACAAAGACCGACCGACTCTGAGGAAAAAGGGTTAAAAAAGAGGAAAAGCCGACCCCGGTACACCGATTGAACCGACGCAAATCTCTATACAAACATATCAAACCCTTCACTTTTTTTTTTTCCTTCTGACAAAAGAGAAAAACCCATTTAATATCAAAATCCTTGACGACTCAAAATCAATGCGAAATCTCACAATAAAGTATAAACAAAAGAAAAAGTCATTTCATTTAATTACCTTTCTCTCCCTCTCTGCTTGTTTTTCACTGTTATGGTGGCTACCTATTACTTTGTCTCTCTCTGCTGTCTCTTTCCTTGCGTCTCTCTCACTCTCCTCCTCTCATATTTCCACCATTTCTTCACTCCCAATTATTTTTTTTCCCCCCTCGTTGGTCAAAATGCTGAAGCGAGACTGGGTTGGTTCTGTGTGTATAAAGAATCAATCACAGTGACCTTTGTCCGCTCTGTGTGCAGAAGGCGATTATTAAAAGCAGAAAAATAAAGAGACGCGAGGAAAGGAAGGAAGGGAAGGAAAGTGAAAAGGAAACAAAGTGAATCGATTTTCACTGTTGTTCCTTTTGATGGTTTCTCTAAATATAGATAAATTTGAACTTTCCATTCCTCTGATTATTCACTTTACCTTCCCTGATTCTTCGAGATTTTAGTTATTTTCTGAGGACAGTTGTTGCTTTGGAATGTTGCCAAAAAAAAAATTAGAACTTTGATTGAAAATAGAGTTAGAGTACTCTGTTCGTTGTAAAAAAAAAAAAAATCGATTAGAAGAGAAACTTTGAACAAATCTCGATTGCTTTTTAACATATTGTTATAACAAAATAATCATAGAAGGAAAAAATGAAATAGATTTGCTGGTCAAAAAAAAAAAAGAAATAGATTTGAGAAAAAAGCAAGACGAAAAAAGAGGTCCTCCCTAATCTGCAAAACAAAAAATGAATTGGTCCAAACTTGGAATTAAAAAAAATGAAAAATAAAACTGTCCCGTCTTCTGTCTGAAATAGCGAATAAAAGCATTATTGAAGATTTTAAATAGATTATCCTCAAATTACAATTAACTTATGTCTATCGGTCAAAGATTATAATTATAATAAAATCGAGAGTTTGACCTGAGCAGTGCATTAAAATCGTACTAATTTAACAAATTATTGTTGCCTTTTCAAAAATCTTGTTGTGATGCCAAGAAAAATTAAAAGATCTTAATTTTGAAAAAAATATTGAGCTTTTACGTTGAAAGAAAATAAAAAATAAATGCATTCTTTCAATAATAATCAGTATATTAAAATATACTTTTAATTCTTTAACTTTATATAAAATTTTAATTTGATCTCTTAACTTCAAAAAATATATTTTTAATCTTTTAATTCTAAAATTATTAATCTTAAATGATATTTTTTTTGTAATAATCATAATTGTTTTTCAAAATTAAACTTGATAACTTAGCATTTGAGAATGTTTTATTATCAATATTTAAGATTTCAGTATCATCATTTTTGTTAAGATTGTATAATTAAAAGATTAAAAATAATTTTTTTTAAAGTTAAGATACTAAACCGAAACATTATATGAAATTAAAGAATTAAAAATATATTTTAGTCTAGACAATATTTAAAATGATCACCCAAAAAAATTGTAACCGTATATTAATAAATAAATTTGAAAAAGGCCTCATAAATTGAGGATGACTCAACGCTTTGTCCATTGGAGAACTTGTGGAGTAACAGATTATGAAAACCTAATTTATTAGCATTATTTAACCCACAAATAACATTTATTGTTAACACCACACAATGTCTTATGGCCAAAACTGAAATATTAATTACTTTTTTGGGTCAATGAGAATGAATCACTCAATGTTAATTATTTTAATTCCATTTCTTGTTTCCTACTCTTTTCGGTGCAACTCTGCAAACTACATAAATTCTTTTGCTTTTTAAAATACTTTATATTTTTTATATTGCACGGCACGTGTGAATATTATAGGGTCACAAATCACATGAAAAATGGCTCTAGTTTATTTGTATGTGTATTTAGTAAAGAAAAGGAAAGTGGCAAGGTCAAAAATGAATCTAATAATTTGAACGACTTTAAAAGGAAATGAAATTCATGAATTGTTTTGCTAAAATCATCGTGCATGCATCATTGATATAATGTGAAATATATTAATGTCAGCGAAATATTTTTAGAAATGCACAATTGATAGGCCTAATAAACTTAGGCCTTAAAAAATATGCATTCATCATAATTCAAATGAAGAACATGTACTATTCTGGTTCTTAATATAAAAACTAAATAATTAATAAAATTAATTAAGTTAGTTATTTGTAACGAATGAGTGTTGTCTTTTTTTTTAAAATTCTGTGATTAATTATGGGCATGTGAATTGTTATTTGATGGAAACATTATGTCTAATCATCATAAATATTACTTAAGGTAAAATAAACAAGCATGATCCACAAAATAGATTAAAACCTTATATTTATAACTAAATTGATTTTATAACTGGTTTTTATATTAAAAATAATAGGCAGTATCTAGCTAATGACAATGCATAAAAAATTAAGTCCGGCCACTTGACCACGTAGCATGTGGTCAACAAATAAGAGTGAGATTCGTTTTGTTCTTGTGGTTGTTTCATGTTTGGTTGGGATCTTTATAATTTTTCTGCTTTTTATTTGTTGTTTAGTCTCCTAGGTTTTGCATTACTTATTCTAAAAAATAAGCTGCTGAAGCTTTCTTATCGTATATCATTTTATTTAGTTAACAATAAAATTATCTTTCATTTAAAAATCAAGAGTGAGAAGGTGTCCTATAAATTATATAACTTTCTTATTATTTTCAAACTGCATAGATTTTTAGTCCTTAGAAAATACTTACTATACTGTTTTTGGTTCAAAATCTTTCAAAAAAAAAAAGATAAGTAATGATAGTTAAAAGTACATCTAACATGGTAAAATTTATTTGGGTTGAAAAGTACCCGCAGGTCTTTCAAAATAGGGGGGAAAAAAAACTTTCATCTTTGACAAATGTAGCAATTTTGACTATTTGCAGAGAGGTTGAGAAAACATGTTGAATGTTAATGGTGATGAAAGTTTTGTTGTGTTAAAATGTTTGACATAATAGTTTTACCAAAAAAAAAACAGAGAGAGTTTTAAATACTGAAAAGATACGAGAGAATTTTTAAATTATATTTTTTAATAAAGATAAAATAAAAAGAGAGAACATAGACGGTAAATGTTGATGGCGATGAAAGTTTCACTCCAGTTTAAAATGTCTGTATATGCTTTTGCATATAGGCCAGTTTTACGATGTCAAATGCTCATTAGTGTATATTTTGTGGGTAATTTTAATACTTTAACCCCTTTTTATATTATATGTTGAAAATAGAACATTAGGATAGAGGAGTAGAAGAAAAAGAATGTGAACGTGAGGAGTCAGGTGGTGTTTGGTAACTTCCAAGTCATAATTTCAGAAGTATTTTTTTATAAAACAAAACAAATTTCTCGACATATTTACTTTATAAACAGTAAAAATACTTCTGAAACTATAATTTGGTTTTTATCCAAACACCCCGTTAATGTCTTTAAGTTAAGAGAACTGTAATAAAATAAAATGGGGAGAGTATCGTGCGCACGTACAGACACATCGCGTGCGACGCTTTAAAAATTGGGTAGTGTCAGAGACACTAATAACTATTAATCTTATTAAAATTTAATTTTTATTTATAAAAAAAAAAGGGAAGCTATTTTAGGTGGTTAAATTAAATACAAGGAAGCGAACTGGAATTTTCTATGGGGAGCAGTGTCTGGCACGTGACTGTGAGGGCATGGGAGACCGTGCTGAGTCGCGCAGCGCAACTTGCCCCTGGTCGTCCCTCACTAATTAATTCTCCCTTCACCCCAAAAAACAACCAGTGTTGCACTGTCACTCTTTTTCCTTTTGGAGTTTAATAAAATTTTAAAATAAAACTACTTAAATTTATTTTTAAAAAAATAAAAATACTTATTAAATTTTAAAATCACATATGAGTGGTTTCACTTATTTTGACACGCCAAAATCATTCCAAAAATACTACTGGCCGATATCTTTATAAGAATGATCAGCATTATTTCTTTGTCATTTATTCATCTCTCCATCACCTCTCTCTGTCACGCCTTATTTTTTCTCATGATTTTATTTGTTTTCATAAATTTTTTTTCCCTCTTCATCCTTCTTAAATCAGACTATTTCTAAGGAAAAACTTCTGACTTTTATATACTTATTGTTTTCAAACAATTTTAATTAACCTTTTAATGTACGTGATTTTATCATATGTTTTTACCAAAAAGAGACAAAGTATCATTTTATACAAATAACTATTTCTCCGGTCCTTAATATAATTTATACAAATAATTATTTCTCCGATTCTTAATATAAGATCTATTTAACTAATTTGATTAGATTTAAAAACTTAGATAAGTTAATTAATTATAAGAAATGTGACATGTTTTTTCTAAAACATCATAATCATCTTTCTTAATATCTTTCCTCTCGTATTTACTTGATTATGTTTGAAAAAGTATCTATAGGGGTAATTTAAGAAAAATTGATAAATAAAAAAATAAGTTTTATATTTAGGACTAAAATTAACTTAATAATTAAGTCTTATATTAAGAATCAAAAGAGTAACTTGTTAACGATTTTGTTGTTTTTAATGTTTGTAGATTAATTATCTGACTCTTATGTGTATACGTGTAAAAGACTAGCAGGGAGCTAAAGCAGGTGTGGTGATTTGGAGTTTGAAAGTAGTTAAATTCTGGGGCCGAGGCTGATTAGAATGGGATCCTATGGGAGAATATAAAGTGATAAAGAGAAAGGAG